ACCCTTTGTTCTTCTAGGGCTAGCACTATGCATGAACATCACCAGGCAATCTGAACCTTCTTCTAAAGTCAGTGTATATGCACATTTTCTTTTTCTCCTCACAAAAATGCAACCCTTCTTAACTTCCTGCTTGCCCAGGAGATCTTGACTGTGCTGTATTACTTTTTTTGTTGGAAAATTCAAATGAACTGCACCAAAATTCTTTCACTATTTTTGATGATTTCTAGATCTATAATTCACTCTTAGAAAAATGACAGTGACTCTTTCCAGGAAATGCAGAAAGTTCCAGGGAGTTTGACAAAGCAGAGTAGTTTTCATCAGGGTCTTATTGGAAAGGCTTGTCCAAAAAAATGTGAGGGAAATTTTCTTTGGTCCATGAAAACAGATGTATTAGTCTTGAGATGGGAAATTCAAATGCAAATGTGATATGCAGAGAGAGATACTCCAGTGGTGAAGCACTGCAGAGCAGTGCTCAGTACCCAGCCATTCCCAGTCACACCTCTTGATGGAGCATGGGCTTTCCTGTTCAGTTCCTTTTCTGTGCTCTTCATTCCAGATGCTTTTGAAAGTGAAACAGGACGAAAGGTTACACTGCAGAATGTCTTAATTCAGCTTCGGAAGTGTGTTGCCCACCCATACCTTTTCAATGGTAAGAAAGTACTGTTCTCTCTCTTGAAATAGAAAAAAAAAAAGTTTCTTGATTTACACAGTGGTTTTCTATTATTCCTTGGCAGTGTAATGCTTAGAAGAAGCAAATAATAAACAATGATGTTGTACTTGAATCAATAGCAGCTGTGAGTTTGTGACCGGTTCCAACACACGACAGTTCATCAATAATGAGGAATAAAGTAGTGGACTGTGTGAAGTCTGAGTTTCTTACTGCAGGTCTCCACTTGTGCGTCTTCTCTCTCCTAAACGATGAAATCACAGTGCTTTGGGAACTGCTGAGGGTGTTCTTTAGAGACAGAGAATGGCCATCACTTCTCAAGCAAACATCATGGAGGTCTGCTTGGGAATAGTTGGCAATGCAGACACACTGAGGTTGACCACAGAGTTGTTACTGGCTTAGTATTAGATCTGCTTTTGAAACTGCTTTCTGTTCCAGGTCTTGAACCAGAACCTTTTGAGATTGGAGACCATATTGTTGAAGCCAGTGGCAAGCTGTGTTTGTTGGATAAACTCCTTTCATTCTTGTATGCTGGGTATGTCATCTTGGGATGAGGAAGATAGGGTGGGGTTGACATAGGGAGAAGAGGTAACCTGAGAAGGCAAACTACCTTATTTAGCCATAGATTGAGCAGATATTCATCACAACGCAAGCAATAGCTTATTTATTGCATGTTACTGACTACCTGAAAGAAGTTATTTCAGTAGAAGGAGCTGCATTAGAGATGGTAGAGGAACCTCAAAGATTTTTGTAGCTTCCCTTTAAACATTTCTCAAAACACTTCACTAACTCTCTCACATGTTCTTATATTTGCCATATTAGGGAACCTGGGAGAATAACCATCTGACATGGTATTCAGCATATCTGGTTTGACCGTGGGTTTCCTGAGAGTAGCTTCCAATGCATCATTGAGTTCCTTTGTGCTACCATGCCTGTATGAGCCCAGGAGGGCTCATACATAGCAAATGTGAAGAAGAAATTTGACTAGACCAAAAACCAAGAATAAGCTGAGACTTCAGCTTTGTGAATGGCATTCAGAACTCCTTTTGTTGAGTTCTGGTGACTTCAGAACCTGGAACCCAAGGATGTTGGGTATTTACCTCCAGCTCTTAGATGGGAGGCAAATCAAACTGCAGTTTGCATTCTTGTGCAGTCTGTGAAGCAGTGCCTCCTGCATGATACAAATTTTACCTTCTTTTTTAATTGAGCTGCACTTTCCCTTTGTCATCTTCCAAAGGACAGAGCTTCAACAGACCTTGAGAAGTTCTGATGTGGTTGTGGAGGTCTTTGTTCTGCTGTATAGCACCTTGAGTGAGTGCCTCTCCCTTGAGTGTCTTTGCCACAGGCCCAGCCCTGTGCAAATTCTAGACTTGAAAATGCCTGTGTTCTGTTCTACAGCAAAGTCTGATTTAAACAGAGCACTGTCTAAGGCCTAGAGCTGGGAGGGAGGAGAGTTGATTTCTCACTTAATGCACGATTGTAGGCAGAATTTGATCTTTGAGGGTCATTTGCTATAGGAGGAAATGGTCTACTGTCACAGAGATGCTGATATTACATTTTCCCAGCATTTAAAATGCTTTGTAGTGTGTGATTTGAGAGTAGTCTGGTGTGGCAGGTCATGTGGTAAGGAAGACCTCGTGATGCTAGGTTGAAGTTGAGGATCCTTTTAGATAGGTTCCTTTGGATCATCTCCAGGCTGCGTCCAGCCAGCAACAGAGCTGTGCCAGGGCCTTGTTACCTCTCTGTACCTCCACACTCTAGACATGGCAAATGATGATGGCAGATGAAGTTAACTGGTTGTATTTGGATGTGGGGCTGAAAATGTGGTGAGGGAATGGGCCATGACTCTGCGAGGCTCAGTGTAGAGAGGTGGTGAGGCCTTGCTATATAACAGTGACTAACAGTGACTGGTTAAGCTATTGCAACCCCTCTACCATTCTATGAAATGCTGTCACAGTATGTTGAGGCTCATGGTGTCTCATGTTCTTCTTCCAGTGGCCACCGTGTCTTGCTCTTCTCTCAGATGACTCAACTACTTGATATCCTGCAAGACTACATGGACTATAGAGGTATGTTTTGCACACTTTGGCAGCAGAGGGCTTATCCTAATCATCTCTGCCATGTATTGTTGCTCTGATTTTGGTTGATCTGCCTGGGATGGAAAAGAGACTGTGCTGAGGATTTATTGCTTCTTAGTAGATAGAAACCATATTCTTGCAGTGGCGCTGTGAGTTGGAGGGTCTTGAGTTCAGCTCTTTGCTGTGTTACCACCTCCCTGAAATGAACTGGCACTTGAATGTTGTTCTTCAAAGTAGTGTCAGCTTTGGTTCCTTGATAGAATGGAGCTAACAGATGGTAGGACAGCAATGTTTTGTTATATACCTGTGTTCAATTATGTACCTGAGTCCTGAAGTAATTGCATTGAAGGCAGTAGGCTTGCTCTAGATTCAGTTTGTCCAGCACAGAACACAAATTGGGCCACATTCTTACCAGGAAATTAATTTTTGATTAAAACAGTTGTTGGCAGTGGGGCCCCAACATGTCTGCGAGGGCAGGTTGGATCAGACCATTTTTGGCAAGGTTAGCAAAGTGTTCTTGGGACATTTTCTTTTGTTTCAGTCCACATGGCTCCATGCCTACTCAGGATTTCCCATGAAAGAGGCTTTTGTTTGGTGTTTATGGTTTTGGAGAACTAATAATGCAGGATAAAGCCAAATGTAGGGCCATATCCCATACTGCTTGCTCACAGGAAAGCACACACTGAAGGCTGTGGGAGTTTGCATAAGGAGAATCCAATGGTTGTTGGCCTGTTTTGTGGGGCCAACAGCCAGCACAGCATAGTCTGAAATGGGACTGTGTGCTAATGTTCTTTTACTTTGGCTCTGAATTTTCCTGTTGTGTTTCCAAGCAGTAAATTAAATGCTAAGAGTCTCTATTTCAGACTCAGCTAAATTACCCTTTGCCGACAGTCAATATGGAAGTCGGGGTTGCTACTTCAGTTTATATGAGGTTTAACTGGGAAAGAATGAAGGAGTTGAAGGCAATAAAATGAGAATCAAGGCAGGAGGATTTAGCATAAAAAGATTCAGGACAGCTGTGAGACAATAGGGAATGAAGTAGGAGGGTAAGAGCATGGACAGAATTTCAGAAACATACATGTTGCTTGTTTGAAAAGGCTACAGCTACGAGCGGCTGGACGGTTCTGTTAGGGGTGAAGAGAGACACCTTGCCATTAAGAACTTTGGTCAACAGCCCATCTTTATCTTCCTGAAGTAAGGAAAGGAGAGACAAACAACCCATCTTGCTTCTGCACTCTTCTTTTGCTCTCCCTGGCAAGTTTTCAGGGAGTTCTGAATCCTACAGAGCCTTTTCATCTGGGGGATTTTTGAGGGAGACAAAACACATCCTGAACTTGGGTCTCTCAGCTAGGACATCTGGTTTCTGCGCTTTCCTTTCAGTAGCTGATGCCAAGATACTTTTCAATATTGCAGCCAATTGAGTTACTTTTTTTTATTCCAAGTCCCATAATGCCTGTCCCTGTGCCAGGTTGAGCTTAAGGAATCTCATTAGCATTTTATTTCTGCAAGCACCAGACTTTAGGTGGGAACAGACTTCCTTTAAGTAACCTGGTGGAATTGTTTCTCGAGTTTGTTGAACATGGACATGCTCTCTAGCTGGCAGACAGACTCAAGTGAGAGCCTTTTACCGTCCTGAGACTGCAAAGAACACCATGGGTCTGCCATCTGTGCTTCTTCCCCTCTTAGCTCCTGAGGCAGATCTGCATCTTCTGCACAGTTTCAAATCTCCCTCTCTGTTCAAGCAAGTGCAGAGGCAGACTTCTGCTTGTCTCCAGAGGAGGGATCCACACTGCTTGATCTCAAGCATCAAACTTAAACTAAGTCTTCTTTTGGGCTTCTGATCAGACTTTCCGGATGAGCTTGGCTCCAATGATACTGCAGTGCACTGCCGGGAGTATGTAGAGAGACTGAAGAGAAGTGCCTGATGTAGGTGGTAGGAATAAATGCGTCTCTCGCCACAGTGCTGAACTCTCCCTGCCCATGTCATCCAGACTTAGGGTTGTTTTTTATTGCACGTTGCTATGTCTGGCCAAAGCATTTTGTATTCACCTGGGAACAGGTGTGCTAACAGTATTTCCATCGCTGTTGTGTTATGGACAGAGATTTTCAGGTACAGACTGTCTCCACTTGCAGGGATGTGTTAATTACAGTGAAGAGGTGCTTGGCATGAGCTGGAAGAAATGTAAGGCAGCAGGCTCCCCCTCTTTAACTACAGTACGTAGTTATAATAGCAGGTATTAAAAAAATATACAATTAACTGTATTTTTTTCTTTCATTCCAAACTCTAACCTCAAAAACTTTAAGTCATAAATACTTAGTCTCTGGTTATTGTATAGCTGGGCCTGGTGTTTTCCAGTGTTTGAGCAGCGTATTTACCAGTTGCTTCTGTGCTGCAGCCAAGTCGTGACTTGAGCAGTCCCTTGTAGCCTCAGCGAAGCCAACCCTTGCTGGGTTCATTTGCCTGTCAGCGGAGGAACATGTCTGTATTCATCAGTCTTGACAACCAGTCCCCTTTGCATTGGTTCACTTGCACCCTATCTTTTTTTACTACAGTACACAGTACGGCTCATTTTTGGGCTGTTGCAGGAACCTGGAAGCACAGAGAAGTGCAGAAATGGAAGGCTTACTCATCTTTTTAGATTCTTGCGAGACTCAGATTTGGGGTTGAGAGATGGATTAAATTAGATATAGCTGGTCAGATCTGACAGAACCTTGCACAGCATAAATTCCCCAGCTGCTCCTTTATTTTTTGCTGGTGACATATTTTGTGACCTTCTTTCTTTGTTCATAGGTGGAGTTGGCATGAACCTGACAGCAGCAGATACAGTTATTTTTACCGACAGTGATTTTAACCCACAAAATGACTTGCAAGCAATAGCACGAGCGCACCGGATTGGGCAGCACAAGTGAGAAATGTTGCTAGTTCTGGTTTGGTTGCTGACTCTCTTGGACTCTCAGTATTACTTTCCCTATCCCTTACCCTATAGGCAATGGAGGGTTACAGAACAACAGACTGAATATCAGAGAAGGAGAGCAGAGAGGATTTTATGTCTTTGTTTTTCTGTTGCAGCCTCATGCGGTCTTGTCCTTGTTATGTGTTTAGGGTGGGAGCTTTGTAGATTTGGAGGAGGAGAGAGAATCTGAAGGTTTGCTTGCACTTTTGCAGTGAGCATTTCTTGCTTTTTTTCCTCTATGAAAAGGAGTGGGTGAGGGGATAGTGTTGCATGCAAGGAAACAGCTTTAATGCCCTTCAAAAAAAAAAAAAAAGAGGAAGATAATAAGAATTTTCTTAAACTTTTCAAGACCTGTGAAAATTATCCGCTTGATTGGGCGAGATACGATTGAAGAAATAATCTACCGAAGAGCTACTTCTAAGCTTCAGCTGACAAATGCCATTGTAGAAGGGGGTCAGTTTGCTCTGGGAGCACCCAAGCCTCAGGGAGCAGCAGAGTTACAGGTAAAATAGAGCTATATCTTCAATTTGACTCCAGTAACATCTTTAGACATGTCCCAGAGTGTTTCTATATTTATTTCTGATATTAACCTAGCCAAACACTTATGTTTTGGGGGAGATCTGCATTGACATGCCAGCTTTTGCATGTCTTACGAACCAAAATGACATCCCAGGTCCAGACAAGATCTGATGTTTGAAGACACTTTTTACAATTTTGAGGTGCATCCATTGTTGAAAAAGGGTGTGTTTTCTTGGAGAAGAGGGGAAGGCAGAACCTCTCCTTGTTGTACTTGTTTATTTTTAATTATAACAGGTCTAAAGTGGAAGCTGGCTCATGGTTTCTAGAACTTATCTGTCTCTGGTACTTTTCTCTCACAAACAGAGCTGATGATAAGTACTTAGTCAGCTTTTGGTTGCTAGTCTGAAACTCAGTCAACCTTCTGTTGACCTCTTGGCAAATACAGTGTCTCAGGAGTCAGGGCATGATTTATAATTCGGACCTAAAAGCTGAGGTTTGAGAACTTGAGTTGAAAACCTCAAGCAAAGTGACATTTAGAGGAATATATCCCCTGTGTGCAGCTAAACCTGGGAGAAGTTTGGAATTAGTTTATCCTTTCCCCTGCTGCCTCCCTTCCCCACCCCATCAGTGTGTCTCTCAGCAATTAGAGTTTCCATGGGAGGAGTGGAACTGAGCCCATAGGAAATTCCATGCTGATATTTTTCTCCCCATGGATTTTTGTGGTATTTTAAGCTTTTGTTTTAAAGGAGTTGGGGGCAAAAACAAGCCTGGTCTTTCTGGCTATGAGGAAAGCTGCTTGAATGCAGTCAGGACAATGCTGTTTTGTCATTTAGCCCTGAAGAAAAATAACTGTTCAAGTCTGGATGAGTTATGTTTGAGGGAGATATGTTGTAGGGGCCTGTCCCATCAGGTGTTGGGAGAACTAAGAGTGTTAAAGCGTAAGTATTTTGACGGGTAACATTAAGGCTTAGATTTCTCCACTCGTACATCCTTTGTATTTAAGCCTGAGAAGCTCAAGACATTGGGATTGGCATGGAATTAGGAGATACTAATACTGAACTTCCCCTTCTCTTTGTTAAAGCTGAGTGAAATCTTGAAATTTGGCTTGGATAAATTGCTGTCCTCTGAGGGGAGTACTATACAGGATGTGGAGCTAGAAAACATCCTTGGAGAAACAAAAGGTGGGAAGTGGGTAATGGATGTTGTGCTGCCACAGAAAGAAGAGAGTGAAGAGGAGGATACAGAGAGTAAGTTAAGAATCTAAATACCTATGAAATGCATGACATTTGGGTGTTCTTAGAGAAGGCTTCCCAGGCAGGGGTGGCATTTTTCAGGCAACAAGAAGAAAAGCGGACGTGTAATTGAGTGACTTGGATTTTGTTTGTGGCCTATCCACAAACTTTATTTCTGAGCCTTTATTGGTCTTTTTCTTCTTTTTGTGTCCTTATTCGCCTATTTGTAAGATAATAGTAACAATACTTGCCCAGTTTGGTGGCTAGGGGGCTGAATTCCTTCATGTGCTTCAAATATTTTGAGACCTCAGATGAAATTCATGAGAAAAGGGGAAATATTCAAATTACAGATGCTGTTTTTCCCACAGAGAACCATTAAGATAGATCTACAATTTTAAAGATATAATGGTAACTTAAGGAAAGACTATATAGCAGGTGTTTTGTATTTACCTCCAAACAAAAGATTATTGGCCATAAAATCACAAATTAAAATGACCTTAAAACATTCCAAAATGTGAGTTAAGAAATACAGTCATGGAATCTAAACTAGATCAAACCTACTCTGTCTTCAGTACTCTACCTTCCAGTCCAAATGTCACACAATTGTGGTTTTTCATAGCTGCATGCTATATGAGAATAAATTCTAAGGATGCTTTCCCTCTTCTAGCATCATGGTGAGAAAGACTGAATTTCTGTTTTGAGTACACAGTAGCACTTAAATACAGATCTGTGACTGAAGCAGAAATATGGCCCTGCAGGTTAGGTATTTTCCGTCCTGCAGCAGTTGCCAGGAACAAGTAATTATTTGCTGAGAGTTAGCATCTGTTGGTAACTTAAAGATGAGCAGTAGTACCACACTGTGTAATAGTTATTGGGAAAATAGCTTACCTGATGAGCAGTAACTCTGAGCTGCTGGAGTTCTGTGTTTTTATTTTGTCTGGGAGCTCAAAATCAAAAGTTTGCTGTCCCTTTACAAGAGTTGCCTGTAACTAGATAGCAAAACTAAATGGATTCGCTACTGGCAGAGATGGGATGACCAAAGAGAACAGCAGTGGAGCCACAATTTAAAACAGTTAATTGACTAAAATAGGAAGAAAGATTCTTCACCAGTATAAATGACTTAAATGAAAAGCTTTTGCCTAAGGAAGCAAATCTTGATTCTCTTCTTTCTATATGATGCTGACAGTGGTCATACAAAAAATGATGAGAGTGAACATCTTTTTCTGCTGAGGGTAAAACAATGTCACAGAGAAGCCAAATTTCTTTTGATCTTACTGTATGTTTTAGGTGTTAGTGGCTTTCAGTTCCTTTTTACACTTTGTAATTATTTTTTAAAGATCACATGTACGTGTATGAAGGCAAAGATTATTCAAAAGAACCCAGCAGAGAAGACAAAAAAGCATTTGATCAGCTTTTGGATCTTCAGAAAGCCTTGACTGAAGAGACAAGTAAGGAAGGGAGAGCTCTCCGGAACAAAGCAAACGTAAGTCAAAAGACATGACAAGGCACATGATGCTCTTTCATCTGCTTGTGGAAAATGAGACTGACAGTTTTCTCTCTTAACCTACAGCTTGTAGAAGGCGTGTTGAAAGATTTGGATGTCAATGTAGTAAAGTTAGCTCTCGAATCTGAGGGCCTGACAATTCAGCAATTCTGATAACAGATCAGAGATATGATATGCAGGGCACTCATATAAACTTAGGTCACAAAACCACATATTATGTGACAGTTGGGATCTGATGATTAAGACCTGTGGGCAAGTAGACAAATGGGAAAGCAGTGTAATTTAAGGTGGGCACCAGACATGGCTTTAAGATGAACAGTTTGTTTCCATGAAACTTCAGGCCCTTCTCACAGGCCTCCGGGAACAGTCAGCCAGGAGGAAGCACTTGTTGAGCGCAGAGGAGCTGGAGGCTAGGAGGAAGAAGCGCCAAGAAGCAGCAGCAAAAAGAGCAAGGCTCATGGAGGAAAAGAAGAAGGCAAAAGCAGAGGCAGAACACAAGAAAAAGTATGGTTTGTACTGCATCTGCTACTTGTAAGCTGACATCTGTTCAACTATATCTAGAAATGTGTGTCTGATTGATGAAAACAATGTCACCATTGGCCCTTATGTATTGGTCTGACATCTGTGACTCTGGCATGTGTCTTAACTTTCTCCTCCTTGTTTCCTACATGTTCTTCCTTTTCACCACCCTAAGTAGCTCCTTGCCTTTCGTCATATGCTCATTTTTTCCATGCCTGCAATTGGCTTCTCACACCAGCATGTGGCTTTTAATGTCACAGATAACAACCATGGTAAACTTTATTCCAGCCTAAAATAGGGGAGCGGAGAAGAGGGAATGCAAATCTGGGTCTCCTGTGTTTCACTGCAGTGATTTAAAACAAGGTGTGTCCCCCACCTTTGATTTTCATTGAATATCATCTCTTGTTTTGTTTCAGGGTGGCCTGGTGGGAGGCAAATCATTACACATCTACCTGCCTTCCTTCAGAGGAAAGTGACTCTGAGGAAGAGTTTGAGGGGGATGAGGCTGGGCTGAATGTGGATTTAGATTACAAAGATGCAGACCTGAACTATATCAAGTATGTCATGGGAGATGTCACCCATCCCAAAGCAGAAGAGGAGGATGCCATCATTGTACACTGCCTAGGTGGGACTTAAAACAACAGGAATGTTGTTGGGTGAGGTGGGCAAGGGGGCTGAATTGTCCCTACTAGCTCAATAGTTTGTAGTTCCTTTCCAGACTGAAATAATTTGTATTTGAGTCTGACTTAATCTTGACTGGTGTAGAGGCAATACAGCACAGTACCCATACAAGTACTAGCAAGGTATACATGGGTCTTTTCATGCCCTCTCTGGATTTATGGGTGAGCCTCTTGGAAAGTGCCTCTATAGTTTGAAATTTTATGTCTGTGGCCAAGTGGGGACAGTTCCTACTGAGAGCAGAACCTTTTGTTCATCCTGTGGAAGCTAGAAATTGAACTGAGATATTGAAAATCATCTCTCTTATACAGTCAGCAGAGAGAGACAGGCACTTCCAGAGGCTGAGGTCAGAGTTTCTCTATCTCAGCACTCACCTGAAACTGAGAAACTGACTGCTCATGGCTTGGACAGGCATACGCTTCACTGGGTAAAAAAACTGGCTGGATGGCCGGGCCCAAAGAGTTGTGGTGAATGGAGTTAAATCCAGTTGGTGGCTGATCACAAGTGGTGTTCCCCAGGGCTCAGTACTGGGGCCAGTTCTCTTTAATATCTTTATCAATGATCTGGACAAGGGGATCAAGCGCACCCTCAGTAAGTTTGCAGATGACACCAAGTTGGGTGGGAGTGTCGATCTGCTTGAGGGTCAGAAGGCTCTGCAGAGGGATCTGGACAGGCTGGATTGATGTGATGGATCGAGGCCAGCTGTATGAGGTTCAACAAGGCCAAGTGCTGGGTCCTGTACTTGGGTCACAACAACCCCATGCAGCGCTACAGGCTTGGGAAA